GAAAATGGAAGCACATGGACCACAAAATATATAATTCATAGTTGTCACATCATACTGTGAGAAATGATCTTTTTTGAGGCTGCTAAGTGTGTGCCTTTCGTAATGGAAGAAATAATGCCGTAGAAAGAGAAAATAATCTCATTGGGGACCATCGTTCCCTGTGTGTCTTCGGTGGGATTAGCATGCATTCCTAGTCTTAATTTCTGTGCTATTTTGTAGTAAATTCCGCCCTGGCCCCTCTGCCTGCGTTGGAAACGCAGCCACAGGAGTGTGCTGGGCGAACACAGCTGAAATGCATTGTAGCTCAGAGTTGGAATTTAATGACTTGGATTGGAAGCTATCTATTTAGACCGAACAAAAGAAATACTGTATCGTCAAGTGAAGAAAAAGACATACTAACCAGACCATGGAGATGAAGTAGTAAAGAGAGTCAGATGTTTTCCACTGGAGCTGCTGAGTTAAGTCAAAGGTCAGTTCTGCCCCATTGTGATAGAATCTCCTTCCTTGGCCATGGGGCTGTGCTGGCCAGAGGGCCACAGAGGCTGAGTTGTGGCTGGTGAGGAAGAGTAAGCAAGTACTGGGGAGGGAAAAGGGAAAACCCAGGGTGAATGGGTAAAAGCACAGAGAATAAAGGGAAGAAAACACGGTTAGTCGTCCCGTTATCTTCTTTTTATGATGCAGTATTGCGTATGTCATACGTATACAGCAGGTTGTAAGCTGCGTCCGCCTCCCAGCTTTGCAGTGGAGCAGGACCAACACCGTGGAGGTACTTTTGTGTCCCTCTCCAGTCATAACCCACTCTCTCTGTTGCTGGCCTTTGTAGTGTCTCTACGTAAGTTTATATTGCTTTACGTCGAGTCTATGAGACTCACTGATTTGGTACGTGTATCTGCAGTCCATTTTCATTGCTGGGCGGTATTTCTTCTTATGAGTACACTGCCATTTATTTGCAATTATTCATTATGTTTGTGATGCTGGGTGCTTCCTTTCTACCAAATTTCCTGGCTAGAGTGGTTTAAAACCCAGAGTAGGGGAAAGACGTGTGTGTGCGTGTGCGCATGTGCTGCGGGTTGGGAGGAATATCTTACTCTGTCTCCATCTTTTTCGGATGGTCGAATAATTAGTCCTTCTGAGCCTCCATTTCTTCATCTCTGAAGTAAGTGGTCCTGGCAATATATAACCTGCCTGTCTAATAGAAAAAAACGGATACAAAAACATTTTTTAAAATGTAAAGCCTAAACAATGATTTTTGATGGGCAGAGAGTAGACAAATGGCTTTATACAGACAAACAGGAAGCTTAACCACTCGCTTCTTATTAAGATGTTTCTCCTTAAGTCTCAGTTCCTCCAAATCTTGAGCTTCAAATGTAGTGTAGGCGAGAGAGTGTGCATGCAGAGCAGAGAAGAAACAAGTTTTGGAGCATGCGGTTTCTCCTCAAGGTACACTGGAAATGTACAAGAGGGAGGGCGGTCAGAAGACACTTCCTAAGCATCATCTGTCCCTCTTCTTGCCACCCTGACACCCTCTGGGCCCTCTGTCGTGGCTCTGGCCCCCTGTGTGCTGAGGGCTCCCAGGTTTGTAATCTCAGGCCTTCCTCTGCTGTCTACGTTTCCCTTCTTGTGTGTTTCAGCTCCCTGCTGGACATCTGACCCTGTCTGGGTGTCCCATGGATGCCTCATAACCACATGTAGATAGCAGAACTCATCATCTTCTCACACTTCCCTCTGTGTGCCCTGTCTCACTCACCCTGGAAACCTCAGTCTGGCTCAGTCCTTCTTTCTCTCTTGCCCTTAGCACTTGTCTGTCTGCTGCCCTGTCATGGGATCTTTCAGTCATCTCTCAAACCTCTCCTCTTCTTTTGATCACTACGACCACTGCCTTAAAATGAGGCCCCCATCACCTCTGGCACAGGCTGCTGCAGGAGCCTGGCTTCACCCTCCCTCACTGGCCTCGGAACCCACGTGCTTAGACTCAGTGCTCTCTTTTGTAAAATAGAGATGGTGATAATACTTTCCTTATGAGCTTGTCAGGAGATTAGATGAAACGATAGCAGAATAAACCTAAAACAGCAGAGTGTCCGGCACACGAGATGCTCAATAGATGGTAGCTGTCTTCACAGTTGGTGCCTGGGGGCTGTCCTTGTGCTGTTACAGACCACACTTCAGATCTTGTTACTTTCCTTTTCCACACCTCTCCTTGTCACTCACAGGTAAAAATCTGTATACCCAAGGGACCCGAGATTGCATAATGGCTTTTGTGGGGCCTAGGCACTTTGGCCTTCATGGGCTCCTTCCTCCATAAAAGAATGCTATTAAAATTATATTTTGTGACTGTGGTTCTATTATTGTCTCAAGTGCTCCTTTGAAGAGCTTGTAATCAAAAGTGACAAAACCGATCTCCAGAGGTAGTGTAAACTTGAACTACAGACATGGGTGGGCTCAGGTTCTGGTTAAGATTTCTTTTTTTCTCCCACTCTGAGCCCAGTCATAGACCATCTTCTTGATTGTTTCATTATGCTGTGCCTTGGGTTTAAAAACAAAAACAAAAACAGCCAATGTTTCTTTCAGGACATACTCTTCAAGATACCAAAGTTTTTGCAGATATTTCAGTTTCAGTTATATTTCTCAAGAGAACCCAAAGTTTCAAATCCTGTGCGTGATCGAGCTTTAAAACTGCAACCTTTAGTTACTGAGCCATCCAGCCTCTTCCTCTCTGAGAGCAGACATGGTCTCTACTCTGATTTTAACTTGCCACAAGGAGTTTCTCTTTCTTGCAAACTCAACTCTACATTTTAAATATTTTAAAATTATTTTATTGAGTATTCCTAGGTGTGTTACTGAAATTTTTCATGATGTTTAGTGCTGCATCTTGCTAGAGACAGAATTGTCTAGCATAAGTGGTTTTATTTTTACTTTATTGAGATATTTTATGCATTCCGTATCATTCACCTGTGTAAAAGTGTACAATCCAGTGGTTTTTAGTATGTTCACAAAGTTGTGCAACAATCACTTCAATCTAACCGTATAATGTTTCCATTGTCCCAAAAACAAACCCCATGCACATGAATAGTCACTCCCTCTCTCCTCCCCAAGTCCCCCTGGCCCTAAGCAACCACAAGTCTACTTTATGGCTCTATAGATTTGTCTATTCTGTACATTTCATATAAATAGAATCATACATTGTGTGGTCTTGGGGACTAACTTTGTTTACTTGGCATAATGTTTTCCAGGTTCACCCATGTTGTAGCATGTGTCACTGCTTCTTTCTGTTTTATTGCCAAATATCCATTGCATGGATGTACTGTGTTTTGTCCGTTCATCAGTTGATGGTCATTTAGCTAATGTGAACGCTTGTGTACTGGTTTTTGTGTGAACATACGCTATCATTCCTCTTGCGTGTATACCTAAGAATGGAATTACTGGGGTGTATGGTAATGATATTTAGTATTTTGAAGAATGGCCAGCCTGTTTTCCAAAGTGGCTGCACCATTTTACATTCCCACTAGTAATGTTCTACTACTAGTGATTTTAAGGCCAAGCACAGGTGTTTGTCCTTGTAGATTTTTGAGCATGGTAAAGGTGATGTCATTAGAGTATTTGTTACACATTGATGTGGAATGATAGATCAAAGACAAGGAAGCAGATAGGAAGTGTTGGAGTAACCTAATTCTCAGCTGATAGGATCTCTATGGAGATGGTGACAGGGAGAAAAGATGTTAAGACTCCTGATGAGTAGAAGTGATTCTCAGGCAGAAAAAATGATGTTCTTCTGATACCAACTGAGTGGCTTGCTCAACCTTTGCTTTTGACCTTGATATTTCAGCAAATAAATTTCTGTTTTCAGAGACGCAGGAGAGAGAATACAAGCCTTGCCTTTATGTGATGGAGAACCAGCCTGTGACCGGAGCAGATTTGCTGGCCTTTGACTCAGCTAGGGATGCCTTCTCGGGAGGATTAGATCCTTCTAGACTCTCTAGGCTGCCCACCATGAAAGGCCAGGGAGCAGGTCCATATTCTTCTTGTCGGTAGCAGCAGTGAAATGCTGGAGATTGGCTATCTAGCACTTATATGGATAAAGTGTGTGTGTAGGAGTGTGTGTGTGTGTGTGTGTGTATGTGTGTCCCTGTGTACATGAGCGTGTGTGTACTGAGTAGCTTGAGCATCTGAAATGGCAACAGGGAGTGAGAGCCCTTAACAACAGAAGTTTTCTAGCTAAGTAGTAAAACCTCCCGTAACTCTAGGATTTAAAAACTGCCTATCAAGCTGTTTATCCTATAATGGAATAATAGGTGTAAAGCTGCCACCATCCTGGGAACTTGCAATTGCTCAGTGAGGCTCGTTACAGAGGCCTCCTACTCTGCTTGGCACAGTTATCACCCTTGTGTGTTTTTTTTCCCTCTGTGACTTATTCTCAAATATTTTATACTTCCTTTTGCCATTTAGACGAAATTTAAATAAAACCTCTAGGTAAAGAGCTGCCTTAGACTGTCACACCCTTTAAATTAGGGATGAAAATCCATCTGTGTGTCCTCCTCTGTTCCAATGAAGCCAGACGCCTGCAGCTGGGCAGTGAGCCGTCTCTGGCTGTGTTTATTCTGTGCTGCACCAGGTTCCTCCTGGCGCCTCTAACCTTGGCCGTGATTGCCCCACGGAGAAAGGAAAACAGGTGTGAATAATGGCTCCATTCCTGTCCCATGTCGTGCGTCCTCTTTAGTTCTCATTTCTCCCAGTTTGGGTGGTCTCTCCCTTTCGTAGATCCCCAGCTCCCAAAAGGAGGGAGGCGGAGAACCCTAATTATTGGTAACCAGACTTTAACTCCCAGATTTACAGTTGCCTGGACCTTCCTCTGCATAGAAATGTCTGCAGGGCATACACCTGGCATGGATAAGTTCAGGACATAATCTTTTTTCTGTGACAGGTAATGTTAAAATTCCCATTGAAGCTGTATCTGAGATGGTATGGGGGCTTACAAATCATTCTTTTTCTCCCTCTTTTTCTAGGCTTATCCAAGTCCCTTGGGCTCATTGAAGGCTATGGCGGGCGGGGCAAAGGGGGCCTTCCAGCTACCCTTTCCCCTGCCGAAGAAGAGAAAGCCAAGGGGCCGCATGAGAAGTACGGCTACAATTCCTACCTCAGTGAAAAAATTTCACTGGATCGTTCCATTCCGGATTATCGTCCTACCAAGTAAGTTCTGATTCAATCATTCCAAGGAGCTTGCTTGAGGGTGCATGGGTATAGACCCTGAGTCTGTGATGTTTTCTTGTGTTATTTTTAACTTTTTGGGGAGTTCTTAATCTTGGTATCCTCTTCAATCAATAAAGTACTACTATTGTTTATGAAATATTAGCTAAATTAAAAAGTTACATTGTTATAAAAGTGATTCAGAAACATATGGAAAGATTCTTAATACAAAAAGTTTTAAATCAAAAAAAATCACCATGGTCTCATTACTTGGGGACAGCAGCTGTTAAAGTTTTAGTATATTGTCTTTGAGTCTATTTTCTATTCATATGATGGGCATATGATATATTGTTTTTGTCATTTTTTCATTTAACATTAAATCATGAGCATTTTCTGATGTTATCGATTATGACCATTATTTCCATTGTTGGAAATTTAGATTATTCTCAAGTTTTCATTATTATATATAACATTCTGTTGAATATTTTCTCATTCACATCTTTGTATGTATTGATATGATATTTACTTTCTTAATAGACCCTTCTAACGGTATAATACTTAGATCACACTGTAGGAATATTTTTGGAGGCTCTTGATACATATTGTACTATTTTTCTCCAGAAAATTTATAGTCATTCTATTCTTCTTAGGATTTTACCAGACTCTCCCAGTACTGGGTCCTAGCATGTAAAAAATGCTTTGCCAAGTTGATAGGTGAGAAATTACCTCCTGTTATTGTTTCAGCTTATACTTTTTTGTATTGGTTGCAACATAGTTGGCTTATGAGAGGTCTTTGTTCTGTACTGTCAGATTTAAGAATTATTTATTTTCTGCTTGTAAAAGAGAGAAAAGAGGTTGCACACAGAATCGAGTGTAAAAAGCCCCTGTTTTCCAGGCAGGACTCCACCTTGGCTTCGCAAACAGATTGTCCGTTTTCTAATAGAGTTGCAGTGTCTCTCTTTTTCTATTTAGATTGTGCCCTGGGTTGGAGTAAAATATTTCTTTATCAAATGGATTTTGTACAAATCAGTTAAGTGTCTTGGTTACTGAGAAAAATATATATATAGATTCAAGATTTAAAACATTATCTTAAATGGATTTAAAATTGCGGCATTAGTTGAGAAACCTGTGAAATCTCTCCCTCTCTCTGCCTAATAAGCATATATTTATTTTGAATCACTAGGAAAATATATGTCCCCCCAGTTGGAAGCTATTTTGTGTCCCTGGACTTGGGCTGTCAAAAACATCTGGCTGTTTTCATTTCCTGGTGCTCTCCGATTAGCCTTTCTTATTTGGACGTTGGCAAATAAACATGGCTATATTTTTGTACTCTAATGAGAATGAAAATGCTTCCAACATGGTATTTTCTGGAAGTGGGCCAGTTGAACAAATACTAGTGAGCACCTATTATGGGCTAGATGGTTTTCCCCACACTAAAGATACTAATAGAACATTGTATGGAACACGGTCCTTGCCTACTTACTTCTTGTCTGGGGAAGAAGACGGATATACAAGCAGATAAGTTCAGCCCAGGTGGTCTACGTGATGTGTACCAGGCTGGGGATACACACAGGTTGTGTGGGGAGAGTCTCAGAAAGTTGCCTGCTTGAGATGATGCCTGAAGGACCATTAAGGGATAGAAAATTGAAGATGGGAGAGGGATAAGGACAGACCAGGCAGGCAAACAGCAAGAGCACACTTAGGGGTACAGCACGACGTGCTCAGGGAGGAACGCATTGCTCGGTACTGCTGTGGCATAACGTGGTGGTTTGAACTTACCATTTATATCTGGTCCCTGAAACGCCACTAAAATTATAGTAAAGGAATAGAGAGGATGGCAACCCATAGGGAAAACTAAACAGGTTGGATGATGATAGCAGGGAAGAGACACCTACAAAATTTTGGAAGGTAGAAAGAGGATGGAGGAATGTAACTGACAGAGCAAGCTGGGTGAAGCCAAGACCTAATTTCCTGTTTTGGTGGGTGGAGGTGGTGAGAGCAGAATGCAGCCCATGCAGAACCTCAGGGACTTAGGAGTTGGAGGTGCCAGTTGTTCGTGATGGCTGGGAGACGAGTTTGAACAGAAGGATCACAGCTATACCCCCAGATCCTTTCTTCAATTGCACAGCCAGAGACTGTCCTTTCCTGCTTCCTGGAGGAGGTGGACTCTGGGCTCTAGTTCCTAGTGGTACCTGGGACAGAGGATAATAAGGCTGCCTACTAAATGAGGTGACTTTTGAGCCTCATTACCCTTCGAGACTCTGTACCCCTGTAGGCAAGAGTTTGATGAATCCACTTGGAGAAAACCATCCAGCCTAAGGAAAAGACCAATAGATCTGACAGTTGAGGGTACCTGCAAAATATCTGGGTTCTTCTCATCAGCTGTTAGTATGGCATGCCTGTTATTAAGCTCCATCCTTTTACATGAAGCTGTCTTATTCTAAAATAAGAAAGGAGAGGCAGGGTCCCTAGACATCTCAACAGAGTCTCTGTTATAAAAGACCATAACAGCAGCAACAGCAGAAAACAGGAACAGAGACCACAAACTTTATTATTAAAATTAATGACTTACATTATGGAATATTTTATTTATAAAACAAGAACAGATAGCTATATTAAAGTAATTATTATAGAATAATAAAGAAATCTTGGAATTTAAAAATTAGATAGAAATAAATAATTCAATAAAGGGTTGGAAGAGAGCACTGAGGAAATCTGAAAAGTAGAAAAGAAAAGGAAAAATAGGAGAGGAAAGATAAAAAAAGAATTAGGATCAGTGCAGTAGGTTCAACATCCATCAATGGGAATATCAGAGAGGGGGTTAGAGGGAGAGGGAGAGAGAAAGAAAGAGAGAGAAAAGGAGGGGGAGAGAGAGAGAGGGAGAGAGAGAGGGAGAGAGAGAGGGAGAGAGAGGAATAGAGAAAACAGAAGAAAATAATCAAACAAATGATGCAGGAAAATTCCCCAGAACTGTAGGATATGAGCTTTCAGATTAGAAGATCCCACCCAGTGCCTAAAAATTTATGAAAAGAAAAAAACTAAACTAACACCAGGAAATATAAATGTACAATTTCAAGACAACAGGGATGAATAAAAAGTCCTAAAAGCTTTTAGAGAGTAAGTGCAGATCCAGTATGGTTCACATTGGATTTCTCAGTAGAAACATTAAAAACTAGAAAACAATGGAGCAATCCCTAAATAATTTTGAGAGGAAAAAAATAATTTTCAATTTAGAATTTTGTAGTCAGCCATAGAATACTTTAGGTCAGGAGCAGGCGCTAAGTAAATATTATATTGCAGATATGCAGGGTCTCAACAATTTTACCTTCCTTATCTGTTTTCAGGAGGCCACTCAAGCATATGCTCCAATAAAACAAAGGAGTAAAGTAAGGAAGAGGGTGATGATGGGATCTAGGAAACAGGAGGTTCAAACAGGAGAGTACTGAAGGCAGATCCCAGAAAGATGTTCCAGGGTAACATTGCAGGGTGACGGCTCTGTAGCAGGCCAAGAGATCAACCATTCCACATTGGAACAGGAGCATGGAGGGCTCCAGAAACTATGTCTCCAAAAGGGGGGTTATTGAATTGTTTGTTTGCCTCAAGTTTTTGATTACATTAGATATTTTTAACCATTCTTTCAGAAAGTTTGGGAGTATTTATTGATACTCACAAAAACTAAGCTTGTAAAAAAGCAAAGCAATTATTAACTACACGAAAAAAAAAGCAAAAGCTCTCCAAGAAATGACTTGTAATTCCATATACTCTGTGTCCCAGCTGTGAACAATGTACCGTAGTCATATAAATGTAAATATTGCATATTGACTTAAGCACAAATTGTGGTATAACTGTATTGGAAGGAGGAGGAGGAGGTGAAATGTGTATGTAAAGTGTGGGTAGTGTAAAGAAAATTAAATCTTCATCTTCAGTAACAGATTGAAAATGTCTAAAATTTAAACATGAAGAAATAGGAACATAATCATTAGAATCAATCCTTTAGAAACAAGGCGATTGCAGAAGTGGCATGAGACTGTATATGTTTTGTTTTAATGAAATAGATTTTCAATTAAGCAATAAATATACATCTATACAAAAAATTAACTGCGAAATAGGTGGGATGAAAGTATAGCACAAGAAAGAGTTGGAGAACTAGGTTGAATGATAGGGTCACATTTGCCTTTTCAGATCATTCTGGCAGCTGTGTGTTGGATGAATTTGAAGGTGGATTTTGAGATGAATTTGAGAGCTTGCCCACAGGCCATACACTGTAACCAAAGGCAGCCTTGTAAATTCTGACTCCACAGCAAAAGTTCCCAAATTAACCTTTGTTAATTGTAAACTAACCCCTGCCATCAAAGAGTGGCAAGAGCCTTTCCCATAGAAGCAGCTTCTCTGATATTTGAGCCCTGGAGTTTGTGGAGAGGCAGGTGCCTGGGACCAGAGCAGTTTCCTTCCTTGGGAGAAATTCTCCCCCAGTGGGCAGAATCCTTCTTGTTAAGCCTCAAAACAGCTCTCACAAGTTTTTGAGAGGATTTAAATAGGCTAATTTTTTGTAATTTGAAACAGAACCTCAAGTTGCTTTAATTCTTACTGTTTTATTACTATATCACACTTGAGAAAATTGTTTTTCTTATAAATATGAATGAATTTTAAGTAGCAGAGAGATTAACCATTTGTTTGTCATATTTCAGGCAAATTAATTCCAAAATGTTGTTTTCCATTTTATTTTAATTCTGTGATTCTTTTTCTTCCACTGGACAGATATTTTAAATTTGTATGAATTCTGACTGTCAATCTTCCCATTTTCATTTCTTCCCAGCTTTAAAACTGAGAAAGATATTATCCCTCAGAATACTTATAAATATTCTATTATGTTTTGTTTTGGTTTTCTGTGACTCTTTTGTATTTCACCCCTCCATCCATCTAGAGTTTATTTTGGAATATGGTTCAAGTTTGTATCTTTTGTTCTAAATAGCTATCTTTTTTCAAAACAGCTTTATCAAAAT